CTCCCAGCCGGCAGCCGCAGGCCTAGTGGCCGGAGCAGCCCGGGCGGACTCTTTGCCGGGCTCCCGGGGTCCGGTGCAGCGGACGACACCGGCGGTCGCGAGCCACCCGAGCGAGTGGCTTCTGGAAGGGTGGACGCAAGTGGCGGGGCCCCGAAGGAAGCGGGCCAGGCCGAGCAGCCCCGGCCGGTGCCGGCGGAGGAGGAGCTGCTGCGGGAGATGGAGGAGCTGCGCTCCGAGAATGACTATCTCAAGGTGAGCGGCGCGTGCCCGCGCCCTGTGGCCGGATGCTGCCGGCATCCGAGAGCCCGTTCAGGGGCCCGACGCTCGCCCTCCCGCTTGACTCCCCTCCCACCTCCCACGGGGCGCTGCGAACTGGGGAGAACTTCCCAGGGCTTTCAGTCGCCAGCCTTGCGGGGCCGGGCTAGTGCGCGTTCACACTGTGCTTCTGGTTTCTAGAAGTTTTGTGGGTAACTTGGCCAGGCTTGTGGGAAGGAACATGTTGGGTCAGTAGATCTTCCCGTAGCCTGTGTGCACATCCTTACCTGTGGGACGGTTCCCCCTAGCGACGGAGGGCGAGTCCAGGAAATGCGCCTGCTTGCGTCAGCGCTGGCCCTTTAGGCTGGTTCTGCAAATGGAAGATGCGCAAGGGACCTGCGGTGTTTCGTCCCGGCTGCCATTGCACAGGGAGGACCCCACCGTTCTCTAGGACGGTGCTAGCATTAGGGCACAGACCAACTCCGTGTTATCTCGGAGGAGAGGAGGCCTGTGCTGCAGAACGGTGTGTTCAGTTTAGATGATATTGGCAGGCCAAGGCTGTCGTGGTGTTCTGATAGAAAATAAGGCCGGTTGTACTGTGTACTTGTATCGCGATATGATGTACTCGTGTATTGGGATCCACGGGGTAGTAATAATTCCAGTGGTATCTGGCAAGATCCTAACGAAATCCTCCCAAACTATGAGAATAGCCCGCCTCCATTAGTGGGCTGTGTAAAACGAACTGTTTTCTCAGATTAACCCACCCTGTTTGGGCCCAGCTTTTGGCCACGGAACTAATTTATGAGCTTTTAAGGTGAACAGTGGTGGACTGTGCTGTTCACAGTGGGATTATAGGACATTAGGTACTGGGTAGGAAAGAAAGTGTTACAGTCTCTGAAACCCACAAGGGCAGTTCTGTCTGGGCTGCCTGGGTTGCTGTGAATCAGAATCAACTCATGGCAGTGAGCCTTGGCCTTAACAGGAGCTCCTCTAGCTCACTAAGCCCAAGAGTGATTTTATGTTGCAGAAAGAGGCAATCATGAGGCAGAGGAAGACGTGAGAAAAGAGAGCAGTCAGGTACCTGGCTTGAGATGTCTTAAATAGATACATTTGCCTACTTTTGTGTAATCGAATAGATGAGAGTGAAATCAAAAGTGTTGCAAGGACAGCTGTGTTGTGTGGGACTTAACAGCGCAACCAAAATCTTCTCAAGCCTGTTTGTGAACTAATGTAAGCGAATGTTGTTCATTTTTGTAGCCCCAGCTCTTAGCATAACTCCTGATTGCAGTTTTACACTTCTCTAGATCATGAATGCTGGGCAATAGACAATTGAATTTCTTTAGAGAAAACAATACTTCCATTACATCTTTGATCTTAAGGTAGCTAACACGATAGGATTTCAGCATTCTTTCCTGGGTAGCTGTTTATCTGCCTTATCTTTTTATCTGAAGATGCTTAATGAATGAAATGGGCCTCTGCTTCTGGTGTGCTATCTAGTATATTTGATATTTCGGTTGCTCGTCACAACAGCATAGGGTGTCACTGCTGTTATATTTTTATATCATGACTCCAATTTCATAGGCAAGGATTCGGAGAATACAGTTAGGTCAAATGACTTGCTCAAGGTCACTTAACTAGTAAGTGGGGAAGCTTTTCTTCCTTGTCTTCAGAGCCATTGCTCTGTTCTTGAACCCATCTATATGGCTATTTCCATCGAAGTGAGTTTTCTGAGAACACATTGCCTCAGAGTTGTTGATTGGTGCCAAATATTCCCTGTGTTCATCGTTCCTTGGGGACATCTGCCCTCCTTTTAAGTGAAAAGGCCACTATGTCCACCTTTCCAGTAAAACCCACTGGAAAGGTTCACTGTGGGAAAATGGTCAGTTGCCGTTTTCTGTGGAGAAAGTGCTATGGCCATTTACCATGTCATGTCCAGATCCATGTCCTCCTGAGATAGCAGAAGAGAAAGCGTGTCAAGGTGATCACAAAGAGTCTGGGCAAGCAGGGGAACCATGTCATGCATAAATGTGAGCTATGTGTTTGTTCATTCAAAAGTTTACATGACACTAGTGAGAAAGAAACACAAGAATCTGGGTGGACTTTTCTTATGGTCAGAGCCCACCCATTGGTGAAAAATTGAGCTAAGAGCTTAATGGCCTTATAAGGTAAAAGGCAGAAGTCATGTCCTGCCACATGACCTTTGGAGTGTACCTATTATAATCAAAATGACCCTTGTTGTTTTTGTTGTTAGGCGTCTGTTCTGACGAGTAGTAATCTTAGGAACAAAAGAATCAAACACCGCTCAGTCCCGAGGCATTTGCACAATTTTTGTGCCTGAGCTTGTTGTGACAGCCACTGTGTCAGTCCATCTCATTGTTGTTTAACGGTCTATTCTTTTGGATGATGGCTAAAAAACGCCACCTTGACCAGCCAGCTGTTTGCTTAGGGAAGATTGCACAGACTCTCTAGATTAGATATAGCCTCTGTCCGGTTGGTATTAAGAAGGGCCTCAGTGTAGTCTGTGAGGAGCACCTTGCCCAGAAGCTTTACTGTGATACATTTTGGAGGACTGTGACCTTCACAGAGAATCGCATTCTTTACTGAGTCTGTACTTTCACTATTGTCATGGATTTCCGTTTGTACATGCATGCATTTTTCCAAAGAAGATGTGTTTAGACATGTCTCTGTGATCAGTGGATGACAACTGGCAAGTTCTCAGTAAAACACTTTCTCTTAGTGTGCTAGTGTTATTGTTGTTTTAAAGGTCCAATTAAAATAGTGGCTGTCAAGGGGATCTGCTGGATCAGTTAAATCAAGACACAGAGGTGATCACAATACAGGATGTTTACGGGGACTTATTAAGAGGACATTTTAAGAAAATTGAAAACTCCATTAGTGAGAAAAAGGCCAGGAAAGTAACCCCAGGGAACTGTTTTCCATCGTGACAATGCACCTGCTCTCGCGAGGGCTGTCTTACAAGAACCTTGTTTGAAACCTACCCCATCATTGGACAGCACTGATCTTGCTCTTTCGGACTTCTTTTTCTTCACAAGCTCAAAGAACATTCAAAAGGGAAATGATGGGACACCCTTGAGGATGCCCAAACTGTCATTTTGACATGGTATAAATGGAGGCGTCCAGGATCCGTGGGGGAGGATTTGAGAGATGGAACAGTGCCTTCAGAAGGGTATAGATCTAGATGGAGGGCATGTAGAAGAATAATAGCTTCATATTTTGATGTTTTTGTTTAAGAAGGGTTTCTATGATTTTGTAGCAATACTTTTTTTCCATATAGTCTCTGAAGACCTGAAAAACCATAGAAGGATGTCTTATTGACCAAGAATAAAAGGGGCTGTCTCTTTGTTTTTAGCCAGATTGGTTTTTTAAAAATAGCAAATGTGCGCCCCCCCCCATATACCTTCTCTAAGCCAATTGCTGTATGAGTCAGCCCCTGACCTAATTTTCTTTCCCTTCTCTTCTTGAATTAAGGGTACCCAGGTGACTAATTGAAGAAATGTGAATCATTTTGAGTAAAAACAGAAAAGCAGTCAAGCTTCCTTTTACCTCTGAAGAACTTTAATATATTTGTAAGTTTTCAGAAATTAAGTGAGCAGTCGAGTTCATTATACAGATGTTGTTGCTTTTTTCTCAAAAACAAACCCCAAGCATGTTTCATAACGATGAAGACTTTGGCTAAAAACTGATGCATTTCCACCCTCCTTGCTTGCCTTGACTCTTTTTTGCTTGAGTGCTTCAGGATAATCAGACAAGCTGTAATGCCTATTGTGAACACATTAATTATGTTCTCTTGTTCACAGAGCTTCTCAGGAGGTTTTAATCTCTCTGAATTTATTGACCTATTTTGAAAATGCTTCTAGTTTTCCTAGGCTTCTGTATTTCTCCTTTCCACAAATATGATGGAGCTTCAGAAAGTTCATGGAAAAATGGAATGAGAAGAAAATGGAATTTTTCAAGCTCCCTCATACTTCAGTTCTGCTATATGGGGAGAACTAGTGTGGGAATAACCAAGGAGCAAATCCACGCCGTAGCATTGATTCTAACTCATAGTGACCCTTTGAACAGAGCCGGACGGTTTGCAGGGTCGTCTGTCTGTATCCCATCTAGACCACCGTGTCTTGCACATGCCGAATGACTTGGTAGGCTCCGACCAGGAACTTTTCGGTTAGCAGCCTTGTACTTAACCACAGCACCCCCACGACTTTTACTTCCCCACTTTTTTCTAATCGTTACCTTTTGTTTAAAAACACAACACAAAAACTAACAGCAACAACAACAGCAACAACAAAATATCAGATAAAATTGGACTTCTCAGGGAGATTGTTGTTAAGATCATCTTGAATAAATAGGTTGCAGTACTTAATATACCACATATCATTCTAATCCCATTAATTTCTCACTTGAAGTAATCTTTTGAGTCACAGGCTCTGAAATGGTTTGTCAAATTTCCCCTTGTGGTCTGGAGGGCAGACACTAGGAGGCAAGAACAAGCATTACCAGCACTGTAAAGGACCTTCAGCTCCCCATTGCCTCGTCTGGCTCCCTGCCTTTTAACTGTTTAAAGCATAACCTTTCTTTTCGGTCCTTCCAGATTTCCCCATCTTTTCGTTATTCAGCCTGTAAAAGAACAGTCAGAATAACTTGAGGTAGCAGGACAGTGCAGATGGGACAAACGAGGCCCATCAGCTGCGGCATCAACTGTCACTTTTGTAAACAATGGTGACCAGACTGAGCCTTCTTAGCTACAGCTGGGATCTGTGGAAAACATTTCCATTGTCCAGAGGGAAATGAGATGGATTATTCGTGTATTACAACAGACAATAGGTTCTGTCTGCAACTCCCAGAAGACAGAGTATTGCTACTGTTGCCAGATGACTGCTCCTGTCTAAACTGGGTCTATTTAAAGAGAGGTTATTAAAATACAAGTAGTTATTGTTTTCAGGCTGCTTAAATGAGATGAAGATAGGAATAAAATTACC